AGCTACTTGGGAGGCTGAGGCAAGAGAATCGCTTAAGCCCAAGAGTTTGAGGTTGCTGTGAGCTGTGATGCCACAGCACTCTACCCAGGGTGACAGCTTGAGACTCTGTCTCAAATAAAGAAAAAGAACAAAAGAAAGTTGGTAAATACTCAGTTCTGTTTTCTGTTGGTTTTTCTCAAATTATATTCGTTCATTCAGCAGATAGTAACCCTGTGCTCTGCTGAGAACTGTCCTAGGTGCTAGAGATCTAGCAGTGAACAGAGCCTGACAGTCACCATGCTCTTGAGTTTATATTCTAGTGAGAGGACGTAGTCCAAAAATTAAATACATACATGCAGCTAGGTGATGAGGTGTGGAAAAATGAAATAGGATGAAAGGCATAGAGAGGGATGGTGGGCTGGGGAGTATGTTAGTGAGGATGTACAAGGAGGGACTTTGAGCAAAAGAGCTGAATTAAGTCAGGGAGTGAGCCCTAAGGATATCGGGCAGAAGAACAGTCAAAGGAAAGGGAAAGCAGGTGTGAAAGCTCTGGAGAAGAAGATGTGGCATGTTTAAGGAAGAGGACGGCTGCCAGGGTGCCTAGAGCAGGGCGAGTTGGGAGAGGTAGATAGTGTTGGAGAGGCTGCCAGAGGTCTGTGCCCGTGGGGGTGTGAGTGTGGTGCGAGGGTTTCCTGTGGGGAAACTGGTGTGAGAGTGTGTTAGGGTATGAGGGTGCCAGATTGCTAATCCCTTACCTTTCTGTCCCTAATTAAATAACTTTTCCTTTTGCATTGTTTTGTCTTCCCTTTCTTAAACATGTTAAGAATTTATTTGCTGTTTATATTTTCTCTCCTTTCATTACCTCACATGTCTCTCTTCCTTTGCCAGTCTTGTACTTTTAATGGTTATTTTTATTACGTTTTAATAGCTGACAGGGTGTTTTTGTACTGTTCTTTTTTAAAAGGATTTTCTTTGACATTCATATCGGTTTATTCTTCCAGAAACATTTAAAATAATTTTCTTAGGTTCTCTGTTGGGATTTAATTGACATTGCAGTTTATACATATAGGGGAAGTGACATTTTTGAGTATTATTGATAAAGGGACAAATTTGTGTCATGCAAAAATTTAAATATTATAGCATTTCACTTTTTTTACTTTATCTTACTGTGGTCCAGAAGAGATGTAGTGCACTTTTAAAATGACTGGTTATAAACCCATCGAGGTAGGGAGGCTATTTCATTCAGTTAAAAAAGCATTTAATTGAATTCTTACTGTGTGCCAGGTACTTTAGACATTGAATCCAGAAATGAGGGCTCTGTCCTGGAATTCATCTAGTTGGCAGGAGCTCAGAAGTTATTTTTGGCATTAGGGCAGAATACTATGAAAGAAATCATGTTGTCTCCTTCCTCTCTGCCTAAAGGAATAATTTCTCAAAAGTACCCTATAGATAGAATGAAAATAACACAGAATTGGCAGACTTTTATAAGACGTCTTCTAAGTGCTAGGCAGAACAACTAAGCTGATTATAAATTTTTCAGTTAACGTTTAAAGAAGTTTTTTTCCCCCACAGAAGAAATAATATAAGTAGAACCCTCATAGCTGACCATCTCCCTGCATTGAACACCTCCTTAAGTTGACCTCGTGCTCATGGACCAGACATGCACCACATATACGTATCAGCACAAGAGGCCTGATTCCTTATGTTGACCACCTCTGTATGTTGACCAGTTTGTTATAATCCCTTGGGTGTTTAATTTACAGAGGTTCTACATAGGGGTGTCCAACCATTTTTCCTCTGTGCTGCACATTGGAAGGATATGAGTTGTCTTGGACCACACATTAAATACACAAACACTAACAGAAGCTCATTAGCCAAAAAAAAAAGGAAAAAAGGTCCCTATTTACTCTCTATGATAGCTGACACCTCAGATAAGTGAATAAAGTCCTCACAAAATCAGCATGAGGCTGCAGTCTGTAGGTTGGACACTGCAGTGATCACATCAGCCCCAGCTTTGTCCTGCTGCAGCTTTATAAATCTACCCCCCCAATTAATCTCAAACTCATATATTTCTCTCCATGTTAAAATGCACTATTGCTGTCTCTTCGTAACAGGTCTCTCTGCTTTTCTTTTGCCCACATTTACAAGCCGTATTCCACATAGCAGCCATAGTAACCTTGGAAAAAAATTAATTTTTATTATGAAATTTATTACAACTTAAAAAAGGAAGGAGTTTGAGGTGGTACTGTGCTATGGTGACACCATTGCACTCTAGTCCAGGTGACAGAACAAGATT